TGACTGAAAATATGGAGAAGAACCAGAGGCTTCTTGAGAGCAACCAGACAAACATTAAGTGAAATTAATTAGATTCTGTGTATAGTAGTACTACTAGTTTTTGCTGGTGTTTTTGCTGGTGAACCATACGACATTAAGTGAAATTAAGTAGAAATTATAGTAGTTTCAGTTTGACAAATCAAGTTTCAGTTTCACAACCAGCTCAACACTAGCTACATACTGCTGCCCAATACTAGCTCTTTAGAGGGTATACTGCTTTCTTTTCTTATCTTAAAACATGCTACAAGGGGCAAAGCATGGATGGTTGCCTTTCGGGTGCATCATCCCACTAACCTGGCCCGGCTGATTGCCTTTCGGGTGCGAATCAGCCACGCGACATGTTTGATCGACCGTGCCGATCCTTGTGCTTGCTGGGTTGGATATGGATGATGACTAGATGCCAGCTGCGCGCTTCTTCTTCTGGTCTGACCTGCACCGCCATTAATTAGTGTTAACGGTACTAGTATAATCAACTTCAGAGAGTGTCACACTCAGTTCAGCATCTGGCAGACCAAGTGGCACTATCAACTTGGTCTTTATCTCCATTTTCTTGAGCACACACCTATCATGTATCATGTATGTAGTAGCAACATGCTGATGGGGAGGTGTAGAGGATCATGACAAAATGTGCTGCTATCTTATTCCAAGATGCACATTTTCTCTCAAACTGACATGTTCTTAATATGGACTCTGTTTGATGATAGAGGTGTAGCAGGATCATGACAAAATCAGCTGTTATCTTATTCCAAGATGCACATTTCCTCTGAAACTGACTGAACTGTTCTTAATTTTGCAGGTAGAGGGCAAGATAATTTGTTGGTTGTTTGCTGTCATGTTGTTATTACTTCCATTAGGGCATCTGTTGGTTCATTAACCTTTCTAACATCTGCATATTTCAGGTTTCCGAGGAGGTAAAGGAAGTGAAGTTCAGACAGTGCAGCAGCAGCAACACCTTCAAGGTGAGAAATATGTTCCTATTTATCTTTTTTTGCTCAAGTTCTTCAGTACATCATATAATATAGAGAAGTGCAGATCAAGTGGTGCAATCATATACATCTGCCACTTAAGTCATCCTTCCCTTTAAGCAGAGTGATGCCTTTCGATGTCACACAATAATGTTTGTTGCAAGAACATTCTACTCTTAGTGTTTGTTTGTTTACTGCATAAAAATATATAGTTTTGCTGCTGTTATGCCTGTATTCACTTCTGCTGCTGCTGTACTTGTGATGATGTTGTAGGTACCCCGAGAGGCCCTTGAGTTTGCCGGAATGTCGACTAACTTCCGTTCCGGCAAATTCGGGTACTCCATATGTCCTATTTCAGCAAAGGTAATGCTGAAATTTTCCGTGAATTTTAGCATTACTTTGCTAAAAATAGGACATATGGGGTACTTGCGACTAATGCCTGTTATCATGCATGTTTTATGATCTGTTGTAAGGGTACTAATAGGTCTCTTCTGCTGCTTATCAGAGATGGCGGGAAGCAGCCACCGCCGATCTGCGACACCGCAGTACGAGTTGGATGCTTCCGAGTTCTTCACTATCATACTTGAGGCTTCAGTATCATCCATGACGCAGGTATATAAAACGAGAGATCTCCCCTTCACCCATCTCATTATGATATCTGTTGTTTGCTACATCACTCATTGTCCCAAACTGCAGAGGCTGCCTGACAGTTTTATGAACATGCTGATGGGTGAAGATCCGCCAAATAATATGAAGCTGCGACAGGCCGGTAGCGGGTTTCGCAGGCAGTGGGATGTGCAGTTGGTGATCAAGAAGGGCCACATGTACTTGTCTCGTGGGTGGGAGAAGTTCTACCGTGCCTACGACCTGCAGCTGGGGTACTTCCTTCTCTTCAGGTACGACGACGATGCCAACATGCTCATCGTGAAGGTGTTCAACAAGACTATGTGTCGCATGCGCTACGCTGCCGATGATGATGCCGGTATGTTCTGCCTCTTCTTATTCCTCTACATTTGGCTTTGTCTCACATTGATTGTTAACGGTCATTGTTGCATTTTGGACAGGTAATGGGAGCAGCAGCAGCGACACTGGCACAGCCAAAGCAGCAGCGACTATGCTGTAGCGAAAGCAGCAGCGATTCTGGTTGTAGCGAAAGCAGCAGCGATTCTGGTAGCAGCATAGACAACAAGAAGGATGATCCGGACTGGAGTGCGGGAGAAGAGGAGCAGAGTGAGGATGAGGAGCTGCAGGATGACGATGGGCATCAGGCTGAGGATGACCTAGCGTTGGTGGTGGCTGACCAAGGGCAAGAGATGGTGGTGGCTGACCATGGGCAAGAGATGAAGGTGGCTGAGGATGACCTAGCGATGGTCGTGCCTGAAGGTGGCCTCGCGATGGTGGTGGTGCGTGACAATGACCACGCACCGGTGGTGGCGCCGGCGATCCCACAGCTGGGCGACATGACCACGCCAATTGTGGTAGAAGACTACATCCCACTGCCTCCATTGCCTTCACCGCCTCGCCGCTCTAGGCGCATCAGGGAGAGGAAGGAGAAGAAGAAGAAGAACAATGCATGAGAACTGAACTTTGTTAGGTATGTCAGATCTCCTATAGGTTAGCTATCCAAAATGATATATATATATATATATATATATACTTAGTTACCTATGTTATCTCTAATATGCTTAGTTTCCTATAGGTTAGCTTCATTTTTACCTAAGTTGGCTCTAATATACTAACTTAGAGCTTATATGCTTAGTTTCCTATAGGTTAGCTCCAAAATAACTTATGTTAGCACAAAATGATCAAGTTTACATAATAAGCTTATAGTCTTTTTCTTATTCTTCTTCTTTTCCAAAATGACATAGGTTAGCTTCATTTTACCTAAGTTGGCTCTAATATACTAACTAAGAGCTTATATGCTTAGTTTCCTATAGGTTAGCTCCAAAATAACTTATGTTAGCACAAAATGATCAAGTTTACATAATAAGCTTATAGTCTTTTTCTTATTCTTCTTCTTTTCCAAAATGACATAGGTTAGCTTCATTTTACCTAAGTTGGCTCTAATATACTAACTTAGAGCTTATATGCTTAGTTTTCTATAGGTTAGCTCCAAAATAACTTATGTTAGCACAAAATGATCAAGTTTACATAATAAGCTTATAGTCTTCTTCTTATTCTTCTTCTTTTCCAAAACTCTTCTTATTCTTCTTCTAGTGTTCTTCTTCTAGTATTCTTCTAGTCTTCTTCTTTTTCTTCTTCTAACTTCTTGTTTATCATTTTGCAGATTTGATTTAATTGACGAAGCTTGCGTGGATGGAGTGCTTCTTTTCCATTTGTGTTTTTATTTTGTATCAATGTGAAACTTTTGTGAATTGATGGATAACGGTGTTGGATGAACAATGTGAAACTTTTGTAATATGTAACGACGGAACTATGTGTTGGCTATGTATGTATATATGATGAAACTTGTGTGTTGGATATGATTGTTATATGGATGCTTGTTGTATATATATGTGTTGAATATCTCATATGTGAAATAGTGACCTGAGATTAAGAAAAAACAAAAAAAATTAAAAAAATTATTACTAATGACGCACTACCATGTGGTGCGCTGTAAGTATAGCAGATAATAGTGACGCACTGTGGGAAATACTAATGACGCACTACGTGGTGCGCCATTAGAATACCAGATTCTAATGGCGCCCATGTGGTGCGCCATTAGAAAAAAATTCTAATGGCGTGATGCTAGTGGCGCACCAGTAGTGCGACATTAGAAGGCAAAACTGGTGCGCCACTAGCATGCCTTTTCCTAGTAGTGACGCCAACGTTCTGATGAATAATCTCGCTGGCTACCACGCCTGCCACAATGCTCCTTCCCTCGGGGAGATCTCGTTTTGATAGTTCATGGCTGACCTCTGACACGTGACTGCTACATTCTCTGGTCGAGTGGCAACCGCATGGAGTTATCAACTCTGGTTAATCCTCCCGGGTGACAAGCCTGATGGGAAGCAGTCCGTCCCTAGTAAGGCATCCACGTCTTCGACCTCCGGTTATTACTCGCCGACAGCCGTGCCGTAGCGATCCTTTCACCCCAATTGGGTTTGTCCCCAATGACATCTGGACTGGTTATGTGCTAGAGTCGTTGATTATATTCGAATTCCAATTTAGTTTTGTGATCTGGGTTGCTCTCCGAAAATGTAGGGACTTGTCCATATTTTTCCCTTTTTTGTTGTTTCCATGTGTAAAATGTGGTTATATTATTTCTAGTAATATCTAATGCATTCCGGGTCCTTCGGGACACTTTTATACTGTAAAAAAAGAACTAATATGAGGGAAAGCTATTCATATTACACAATGAAATTTATGTCACATACAAATATAGTATTATCGATATATAGTACATAAGAAAATTCCTAACATTTTCTCTATGTTCGTTCAAAACATTTTCAATTTTTTATTTGGACATGATTTGTTTTCCTTTACTTAGAACACATGTTTATTTTTCTTTTAAAAAGATATTTTTGAGACACTTATTTTAAAAAAATGAGACCAACCAAGGGCTAACCCTTGTTGGCATTTTTTTAGGAGAAACTCCGCGAGCACCGCAAGTCAAAGTCGGGGCTTGAACTTGGGTGGGCTGACAGCTACCCCAGCTATCCAGCCAACGGGGTCAACATTTTTTTGAGCCACTTATTTTAAAAAGATAACAATAAAAAAAAGGTTAGACAAGTATAGGACCGGCCCAACAATCTGGAGTGCTTTTGCTCGTTGTTGACGAAATGAAGTCATTTTATATTGATTTTCTATTCCGTCGATGCCGCTGTGGAGTGTGAATAATTACAGCCAAAAAGTTATTCGCGCCACCACCAACCGCAGACAGGCGACGAAGACTTGGTAGCCTCTCAGTCTCAGGTCCACGCCCATCCTCGCCGCCGGCGACACCCACCCAGAGATCCAGATCCAGAGGAGGCTGCTCTGTACTCAGCCGGCGGGATGGAGATCGCGGTGGGCGCGCTGTCGGGCAAGGTGGAGGCGCTGCCGGGCAAGCTGGGCGAGCTGCTGCAGCAGGAGTACGACCTGCTCTCCGGCGCCCGCGGGGACGTCGCCTTCTTCCAGGCCGAGCTGAGAACCATGAACGCCGCCGTCGTGCGCTGCGAGGCCCTCGAGGAGCCCGACGTCCAGACCACCGGCTGGATCGCCCAGGTCCGCGACCTCGCCTTCGACATCGAGGACTGGGTCGACCTCTTCGCCCACCGCGTCGACGCCGGCGGCACCCACGACGCCACCTCCCACCGGTTCTCCCGCTGGATCCGCCGGCTCACCACCATCCCCGACCGCCACGTCATCGCCACCGAGCTCAAGGAGCTCCGGGCGCGCGTCGTCGAGGTGAGCGAGCTGCGGAAGCGCTACAGCCTCGGCCCGCAGATGCCGTCTCGTCACGCGCCCGCCGTCGACCCCCGCATCTTCGCGCTCTACGCCGACAGCGCCGGCCTCGTCGGCATGGACGGGCCGCGGGACGAGGTGGTGGGGATGGTGACCGGACAGGGCTCCGGCGGGCTCAAGGTCGTGTCCATCGTCGGGATGGCCGGCTCCGGGAAGACGACGCTTGCCAGGGAGGTGTATAGGTTGGTGAACGCGGGGTTCAAGTGCCGCGCGTCGGTTTCGGTCGGCCGGAGCTCCGACGTCGCCAAGGTGCTCGGCGATATGCTATCCCAAGTGGACGGCGAGGACAGCAGAGGACGAGGTGATGCTGGCGATGTGGCTCAGTTGATTGGGAGACTGAAGCAGCATCTGCAAGATAAGAGGTACTCTATTTGCTATTTCGATCAATCCACTTCAATTGTTACTGGTAAAAGTTTTGCTATTTATACTGAAATTTTGCTCCAGTACAGTGTTATTATACTGAAAAATTATCTCCAGTACACTGTTATTCTGTGGCATATTGCTATACACATCTTTGATAAAACTTAGCCCTGCTTCCTCTTCGTTCAGATACATGTATACTCTCTGATTATGATTGATGATTGATGATTTCCCTTGTGTCATCAAGCAGGTATCTTGTTATGATTGATGATTTATGGAATGTTCAAACCTGGGGGATAATCAAACACTGTTTTCCAGAGAACAATCTCGGGAGTTGGATAATCACTACAACAAGAATTGAGTCTGTTGCAAAAGCAGCTGCAGGTGCCCATGTTTACAAGACTTGTCTTCTTAATGAAGCCGATGCCGAAACCTTGTTTTCCCAAAGAATTTTTGGGAGTGTGGGTGGGTGCCCTGCCCATTTGAAGGATGTTTCAGCTCAGATCATGAGAAAGTGTGGTGGTTTGCCACTCGCTATAGTGAGCGTGTGTGGCTTATTAGCCAGCAAGCCACGCACAAGAGATGAATTTGAGCGGTCGGGACTGGAATGGCGGACGAATTCAGAGCTACAAGGGATGAAACAGATCATCAAACTCAGCTACAGTGATCTTCCTGCCAATCTCAAGGCATGCCTATTGCACCTAAGCATATTTCCTGAGAACCATGAGATCGAAATAGGCGTCTTGCGAGGCGTTGGGTTGCAGAAGGGTTCATCAATAAACAGCATGGCACAAGCATGGAGGAAACAGCGAGAAACTACATCAGCGAGCTCATTGGCAGAAACTTAATCCAACCATCACAGCTGAATCATGATGGCACCCATAGGAGCTACGTTCTTCATCCAGTAATACATGATTTCATCATTTGCAAGTCCATGGAAGATAACTTTGTTGCTCTTCTACATGCTCAACAGCAAGATGTCCCACCTGTCAATGGCACTGTCCGACGGCTATCTTTGCTGAATAGTGGTAAGCATGATCAGACCGCTGCACAAATTGATGGGGCAAAAGTATCTCGTGCTCGCACAATCACCGTATTTTCTCACACTGGGCGCACGCCTCGTCTGAATGAACTCAGTGTACTGCGGGTTCTTGACCTCGAAGGCTGTCAAGGTCCACTGTGCCTTGATGGTCTCTACAAACTGCTGCTTCTGAGGTACTTGAACCTCAAGGGAACAGATGTCAGTGAGCTCCCTGCACAGATTGGAGAGCTAAGATGCCTGGAGACACTGGATGTGAGATCCACAGAAGTGAAAGAGCTACCTCCCAGCATTCTCAGGCTGGAAAAGTTAATGCATTTGCTCGCGGGGAATGCCAAGTTGCCAAGTGGGATAAGCAAGATGAAGTCATTGCTAACACTCTCGTGCAGCAATATCGGGAAGAGTGCTGATGCGGATATCATTCAAGAGCTCAGTGAAATGGCAAGCTTGAGGGAACTGGAATTATTTTGTAATGTTCCTCGGACGTCTGAGGATAAGAAACAAGTCGCATTTCCGAGTGATGGATTTCAGAGTCTTAAGAAGCTTTCGATAAGGTGCAGCTTGCCATCTGTGACCTTTGTGACCGATGCTTTATCGAAGGTTGAAGTGCTTGAACTAAAGTTTGAAGAAGGCCTTTCAAAGGAGTCGAGTGGTGTGTCTGGCGTTGAGCATCTGTCAGGCCTGAAGCATATGATCATCGAGTTTTCGCAGCATGATGCGGGTGCTGCAGCAGCAATGGCTGCAGTCAAGAAGGTTGCTGAGAAGGTCCACCCTAATTGTGTGATCATCGTGAACGTTGATAAGACCGACCAATAGAGTTTTGGAACATTGTGCATATCTGATTCCGAGCAAGCATGAGGGCACTAGCGGAGCTACAGATGGCAAGTTGGGCGGGCCGGTCTATAGGAAAGCAATTTTCTTTCTTTCTCATATGACCTAATCTGCTCACACACCTCACTGAATTCAACCTGGACAGGACGGGCCATGGCACAGTTTTACTTGCACCTCCTTCAGCAGTGTTCTCATGATTTGTGTAGTGAATTGGTTCTTGAATAAGCGATGCCCCTAGAACTCGGCATTATCATTCCATGAACTAAATGTATGATGTTTTCTGCCACTGTTACTTGCTTCTATGCCCATGTCCTTTAAGCTGTGAACAATGCATTTGTGGTTTACAGTAATTGCTAAGGTGTTTTCATGGGTGGGTGTATTTTTTCAGAAACTTTATTTTGCTTTCAGTTTCAGCCTGAACTAAATAAGCAAAGTGACCCTGTATGGACTTCGTGTGAATACCTTTATTTATAAATAATGTATTATGTATCCATAAGTCATTATTCCCAAGTGCAGCTATTTATGAACTCTATATGGATCTTGTGCGAATACCTTTATATGTAAATGATTTTTTTACACTTCATATCACGAAAAAAGTAGCGCGCTATACAATGGCTATAGTGTCGCTATAGCTTTCGAGAGGAAACACTGCTATGTTATAGCCAATTTCATTGCTATGGCCGCTATGGGCTCTATGGCGTGAAAAAAGTAGCGCGCTATACAATTAATGTTGCATATATTACGGGAAAAGCAAACACTAATTTGAGAAAAAAAATCATTCCATCCCATTCCACCAACTAAACATGAAGATGTAACCGTTCCATTCCACCTCACTATCCATACCAAACACAGAGATGGAACCATTCCATTCCAGTGGAATGGAACCATTACATTCCATTCCAGTTGGTTCTTCAACCAAACGCACCCTTAGCTTAGCTCCCAGTCTTGAATGGCTGAGATGTGCTCATGGCATGCATGCTAACGGTCGAGACATGTGGAGCGACATCGGAGCTGGTGAGGGTGCTCGCGTAGGGAAAGCTCGTCGGCGCTAAGGAATCCGCCACTCGTCCCTCGCCCTCTTCTCCAAACCACCACGGCTAGGAGGCGGCACAATGTTCCAGTAATCTGTGCGTCCCGCAAGTGAGTCACTGGCGCCCGCAAGTAAGTGGCAGATATATTATGTAACGCCGTGAGTGGCTAGGTGCCGCTTGCTGCGAGGCAGACGGCTGCCTCGCCTACAGGGTGCCGGTGGTTGGCCGGCTAGTAGGACATGAATCGTCATGCTGACGTCACTCTTTTTTTTCATTTTATTTATATTTTAAATGCATATAGTTCAAAAACTTAAACTTACTTAAGAAATTTGAAAAAAAGGAATAAAAAAAGGTTACATTTTTATAAAAAATGTTAGTGCAGTTGAAAAATAGTTGCTAACTTAAAAAAATGTCCATGACAATGGAAACAATGTTCCTGTGTTTACAAATATACATGCAAAAAATTTAGAATATCTGTATGCAATGCGAAACAAATGTTTGCGTAATGCAAAAATATGTCTTTTTATATGTGATATACAATGTAAAAATTGTTCACGTAGGTTTAAGAAAACTTTATATCCATTTAAAGAATGTACATGACATTTTAAAGAAATGTTCACGTGATTCTAAAAACATGTACGTGAATTTTGTTTTAAAATTTATATAAGTAAAAAAGTTAAAAATGAATATTGCCATTAATAAAATGTAATAAGTGTTTTAGGAAAATTTTACAGTGTATTTGAATTTTTTTCAAAATATGTAGTTTTAAAAAACGTACATCATGTTTTTGAAAAATGTCCAACGTTATCAAAAAAATGTTTCGTGTGTGCTCTAAAAACCTGTACATTGTGTGCTGAGAAATTAGTAAACATGTGTTGAAGAAAACAAAACCTATAAAAACGACAAAGAAACAAAAAGAAAATAAAAAGGGAAGAAAATCAAGAAAAAATTGTTGACGTCGATTTTTCGCAACATGATGCAGGTGCTACTGCAGCAATTACTGTAGTCAGGAAGGCTGCTGGAAAGGTCCACCCTAATTGTCAAGTGATCATCGTGAACGTTGATAAGAAGACCGACGAATAGAGTTTTGGAGCATTGTGCACATCTGATTCCGAAGATGCATGAGGGATGTCCGGATGTGATATACTTTCCGCTGGAGACGGTCAAGGGCATTTGATGATTCATTTCAACACACTTCCTTTTACAATGTTCTCGTGATTTGTGTAGTTAATTAGTTTGAATAGTGATGCCCCTAGGACTTGGCATTTCATTCTTCAAATTAGTATGATGTTTTCTGCATTGTTACTTGCTTCTATGCCCATGTCCGTGAAGCCGTGAATAATGCATTGTGTTTTACAGTAATTGCTAAGGGGTGTATCTTTCAGAAACTTTATTTTGCTTTTAGTTTCAGTCCAAACTAAACTCGCAGAGTGCCCCTATACGGTGTTCAAATAAATACCTTTGTTTGTAAATGAATGTATTCTGTATCCATTAATCAGTATTTCCAAATTTAGCCATTTAGATTTAACATGGATTCACAAAAAAAGGATTTAACATGGAGTTCGTATACAGAACAAATTGCTAATTTCTATTAGTTCACCACAATATTTTCTTACCATTTTATATTGAATTAATTTAAAAATAGAGTACTATTCATAATAAGAAATTAAATTGCTACTTCATTTGTATTTCTTATTTCTAGTTTTGTACTATTTGTCCTCCTAATTATTTTCAAACAATAACTATTTTATTTTCTATTTGAATAAATGAGCATTATTCTATATTTTATCTACTAAGCCCACGAACTTGCACATTCATATATGTCTTGTAATGCCTAGGTTCCTGGCATTTCCTATTTGGCGCCACAGGCGCCAGTTAACGTGCATTTTCGTCAATTGGCGCCTGTAGCGTCCGTAAACGGGCCAGCCCGTCTAGGCACCGGTTGACATTTTCTTTTTTAAAAATTCTGTGATTTTTTAAAAATATCTATGAACTTTTTAAAATTTCTAACATTTTTTTCAGATTGATGAACTTTTTTGAATACCGATGAACTTTTTTGAAATTTGATTAACATCTTTTTGAAAATGGATGAACATTTTTTTATTAATGACCTTTTTTTAAATACATGAACTTTTTTTGAATTTCTATGAAAATTTTAAAATTTAATGAACATTTTATAAAATTAATGAACTTTTTCTAAATTGGATGAACATTTTTTCAATTTGAATGATTCAAATTGATGAACTTTTTTCAAAATTGTTGAATCTTTTTAGCGCTGCAGGTGCCGGATCGTTAACGGGCGCCTGCAGCGCTGCATAGGTTCCTAGCCTCCTCTATGTGCGTGCAGCCCGTGCCATGGAACAGGGTCTCCAAGTTTCAGGGCCACCTATCCAGCACATTTCTTCACTGCCTCAAACTAGTACGTGGGTCCGTGCGTAGCACGTATTCAATTCATGGATACAAATCTTGCATCTGATTTTTCGCAAAAGAAAAAGCAAACACACGACTCTTGAAAATTCTAACAAATAACCATTATGCTTTGTTTGTTACCCCCCCCCC